GTTTTCTAAGGATGGATTTTTATCTCGGTGGCCTTGGGCATGGCACAAAATTAACATGGGATTCTGTTTGCAAAAGTTGACACCAGTAAGCCCAAGGAAATAAAAATTTATCACAGATGTTGTGTTAGCCATGGTTCTGTTTGAACAATGGGATATGACACTGTGTGATAAAATGTATGAGAACTGCTTCTGTGACCGTGTGTGTGTGTGTGTGTATGTGTGTGTGTGTATGTCCATGTGTGTGCAATAGTCTCCTGCACAACTCCTATAGAAAAAAAAGACATTTCAATGTAAAGGTGCATCTACTTCAGCTTAACTCTTTAAAAAGTTCATTCTTCATGGTCTCTTTATCTATTAATTGGAATAGGGAAAAGATGCCTGTTTCAATGAACTGTACTAACTTTGTGGTGGAGAGCTCTGTTGCATGACACTTGAAAGACTTTCACCATTGTTAATTTATACAATGAAATTAATATTAAAAAATTCAGTCATTACCATTAACTGATACAGGGTCTTAAATCTAATCATTGTTTGTGAATAGCCTTCAATTGATCCATACTCCTGCAGTGTAAATAGGAGCTTTTCCACTGACTTCAACTCACTGCGCAATAATTTATAAGAATATAGCTTCCCTGCAACCAGAGACACAGATTCACACACCATGCTAGTTTTATTTTAAATGCAACTTTTCAACCTACTGAAAGTAAGTAAAGTCAAGGAAGGTGGGTAAATACCTGGTGGTCTGCTACCCTGTGGCTACCCACACTATTTCCCCACTGTGCTAAGAGGACAGGTTTATCTAGGAATACCTGTCATATGTAGTTCTCCATAACCCTGTAGCAAAGCTTGGTAATCTGCATTTCCTTAAGGCAAATTTTAAATGCCTAAATATTTTTGTGATTGTAGACCTTCACAAAAAAATGTGTCAGTAAGTCACTGGGAAGCAATATGTCATCCCTGCTACAGAGGGGACAAAAAGGCAGTCATAAAGTCAAATGGCATATCCTCAGAAATCCACATTAGCAGCAGAAGTGATAAGAGAAGCTATAATAGGACCAAAGTACTATATTTCACGGGATATGGCCATGCAAGCTCAGCCTCAGTCTCTGGCCAGGCACGCTCTCTCAGTCTTAAAAATGTGATGTAAGACAACGTAACTTCTTACTTCTTTACTGAGCCCCAGCTTCCAGTTTCTAAGTCTTATCGTTAAATGTGCAGCCCATGATTTTATGTCTCCACTGGCAATTTAGGACTACCACATACAAAGTACTATTCTTATTACTCCTCTCCTCCAATGTATTTTAAGGCTCTGAAGTACTGGTGCCTGCATGTCACCTGAGCATAAACTGCATGAGTCATTACGAATGAGTGATGGAGAAAGGATCCTTATCTCCATGCAAGTCAATGTACAACCATTATCAGCTGCCCAGAAAGTCAGTACACTTAAGACACAAATAACATATTTTCTATTGCTGCTTTGTGTATTCAACTTTGCAATTATTTGAATGAATACTGTGCACATAAAGATGTCAACTACCAAAGACAGAACAGTATGAAAATCACTGGTTTAAATTTGAGAAGAGTGAAGGACAACACCAGATAACCTAATTCTTTTAACAATGATTTTGTATCCAAGCCTAATACTGTTCTGACGGGCTTGGAATTATACTGATGCATCAACGAGATCCCTCTGGTAAATGGTGCATTCCCCCAATGCAGAAGACATGACTCACCTATTCATTTGACTGAAGTCAGCAAACATGTCTTATGGTATGTGGTCTGCTGCCTCTTGATTCGCCAGAAATAGTTGGGCCAGTTTAAATAGGTCAGGAGTGAGACTGTATCCCATAGTAAATTCTGTTTCACGCTGCAGCACAGGCCATTTCCTTCTTCCCACTACACTCAGACAGTAAGAGGGTAAGAGACCTGCTCCATAATGGCTTCATTAGTTGCCAGAGTGGGATTATAAGAGGTGAAGGGAGATAGCTTCCCAAAAGCCTGGGATACAGAAGATCTGTGAGAGCAGACTGGATGAATGGGGTTAGGATCAGTGGTTCCTTAATTCCCTTTCTTTTACCAAGCATTGCCTTGGACTTTTTAGCTGAACTGGGTTATAAAGGACTTTTTAAAATTTGCATATGCAACAGTACTAAGATGCAAAAGGGAAGTGATTTAATTATCCCATGGAGAAAACAAAATACCACTTTTATTGCTCAGTACAAGTTGTCTCTCAGAATTATTTATGCACCTTTGTGTAAGATACTCTTTCTAGTATTTGGGAATCAGTCAAAAAAACCCAATGTATATTGAGGGAAAAGTGATCCTACAAAACTGTCCCTTGCACAAAAACGTGTAATATGTTTGAGAAGCATTTTCCCAGAGTTACAATTCTGAGGTAGTATGGCAGCAGCTCTGTCTCAGCATGTCTTGGCAGTGGGTAGACAAAGAAAGCAAAAAAAAAAAACCCAAAACATCTAACTGCTTCTTCCTACAATGCAGTTCAGAATGGGAATCTCTCACATTTAAGCTGGCACAGCTTCTCTATGAAGGCTAAGTGGAATGAAAAAAATATAAACAGGAAACAGGAATCTCTGTAATAGTATTGTTTTGTGAAAAGTGAGGGTTTTACCCAGTAATCTGTGTTCTCTAAGATTACCACTAAAGGCAGGTAAAATCTACCTACTTAGCTGAAAGATCCAGTCTAAGGTTCAAAGAGTCTCTAGTTTTATTTTCTACATATGACAACCCACAGACTACAGCTACTGCTTCCATACTGCCTGATAACCTAAATGAATACAGCATACATCACTGTAGACAGGTGCTATTCTTAACCTCAAGGTAGTAAGAGCTGGAAAATCCACTATACCTGCTCATATTCTGGGTTTTCAGATAATTATGCTGTTTCCAGGGTATGTCTCTCCATGTGGTTTATGAAAGGGGCTGTCCTTGGCACAAATCCATGTGGGCACAGGTGTATACATTTCAAATATTAGGACTCAACACAGTCCTAACTGCATAGCTGAGCTGAGGGTGATTTCTGCAAGTACTTAGCTCTTTCCGTTAGTAATTCCTCTGTTCTGTTTGGTCCTGTTTTATAGGACAATAAAAATCTGTCCCTTTAAGACCCTTCTACAGAACCTCCACCCCAGTGGGCTGGGCACTGTTTTATTACATGCAATAGCATGCCTGCTCACTCTATTTTAATGATGCAAGAAAAGTACCACATATCCTGTGAGTAAATCTATCTTTCAAATCAAGTCATCAATTCAGTGGAAAGGTCTGGGCTAGAAATGGAAGTTTACAAATCATCTTAGCTGTGATTTTAGCTGTGAGGCACAATAACCTGAATGTTACAAGCATTTCAGTGAGGAAAAAGGTCTTGGAATGATGCTCAAGTTTGTCTCAAATAACTTCATGCTGCCAAAGAAAGTTTGCACTAGATGGATTTATAAAAGCAGTATAAGGAAAGCTTATAAATCATCTGTACATGACCCTGCAGGTTAACAAAGGGAAAGTGAATTCTGTTTGCACATTGAAATAAACATTTTTCCAAATCCATCCCTGCAATCCCCAAACCTCTGTACAACACAGAATAATGACTCAATTATGAACTATGCTACAAACTACAAATACACGACTACCTTTCCCCTTATGGTAGTTTAAAAACAAAATTCACAGAGTGCGGAATTGAAGATGTTAATATGGGGAAAGGAAAAGCCTGGCACCAAATTTATCTTCCCTTCAATGTATGATATCTTCCCTATGTACATCTGCAAAAGTTTTGATCAACCCAGTTTCAGCCCCAGGCAAGTAGAGTAGGTCTCCTACTCTGATTATTCCTCAGTCCAGTCAATTTTACTTTATGACAAGCTTCTAACACCCAGCCTAAATGATGATTGTCAAAAGGGTTTTCTTATGTTCTCAGCACCAGTTTATTCAGTTTGCCTCATCCTTGGAAATTCTCTCTTAAAATACTTGCAAACAGTTAACCTGATTTTCTTCACTCATGATAGTAATTCCTCAGTGAAAATGTTGTTTACATAATTTTTCTACTATATTCACTCTCCTAATAGCTTTTTTTTGGGTTGCTTTGCTAAAAATTCTTTTTATTTAACTGCCTATACTGAGCTGCCCTGGATTTCTGGCCTAGTTCCACTACAGTTGTGTAAGGTATAGAAACTGTTACTGCTGGGGTCTCTTCTTTTGTGAGCACACAATACAGGACAAAATCCAAAGGCTGCTGCTCTGTAGGTTCTGACTATTCAATGTATTCCACTATTTCTCAGTGCGGTCTTATCTAAGAGCTAATTGCATTTAGAAGAAAAGGGTCTTGAACAGTTTTTCTTTAGCCTTCAATTCCCATACCTGATGCAGATTTTGAGTGAGATGCCCATTCAGAGGAGGAATAAAGGTTGCTGTTCCAAACCTCTACACAAAACTGCTGATAAAAATCTGTCTTCTTAGTAGCTGCTTGTACTAATAAATACTTTTACTCAGTAAACTTATTTTTCAGTTGGTAGAAGACAGTCTTTTAATATGAACCTCATGAGGCACTCTTCCTTCTCTAGCCTAGAAAAGCACAATCTTTGAATTCAGAAGGGAAAGGAGATCTGACAGATTACTGAATCGTCCTTCTTGTTTACAGCCACTAAAGATTATTTAGTCATCTCCTAAAAATCAAAACAGACACTTCAGTGGCTACTGGGGTTCATCAAGAACTATCACCAGAACAAGAAGTTATATGAGGACCATCAATTACATTAACAGCCATATAATGAACAATAGCAAGCCTAGGTGGCTTTAATGGAATTATTCATATTACTCTATGCTCAGCAATGGTAGCAGAATTATTTATGTAGTTGAGCTACGGAATTTCTCCTTCCAGTTAGGCCCTACATGTGCTTCACTGGAATACATCTGTAGCACATTTTTGCAGATCTACATCTGAGTATTTCACAAAGTTTAATGAAAGACCAACAGTAAGTCAGCGTTGACGTTACCAATTGAGCAGTCATGGCCAGTCCAGTTGGGATCGCAGCTGCAGAGTCCAGTATCTGGGAGGAAGGTCCCATGACCAGAGCACTGATCCAGACAAGTGGCTCTTGGGGTCTCACAATTAGTTCCTCCCCAACCAACCGAACAGTGACATTCTCCTCGGACGCACACGCCTCGTCCCGAGCAGGTAGGATCCATGCAGTCCACTACATGTGAGAAGGAAGAGGAAGAAGACAGAGAAAGCAAAGGGGAATTTCATATAAAAAGCTATCAGACTGCTGTCTACACAAACATTTACACAGTATCTGAAGGTTTCAACCAAAAAGCCCTGCTGTGAATAAACCAGGTGCTTCATGCAAGAAGTCAGTGGCCCTAAAAGGCAGTGAGACCTAAAACACCTACGTGAAAAACAGAGAAAAATCTAGTGATGAAATACATTCTTTTATGCAGGTCTGCACTAATAAGGGATCTTTCTGGTAAGAACAGGCTAATATCAATTAAAAATAGAATAAGAATAATATTCCATCATACACATAGTGTGTCTTCATTTATTCTATTAGATTAGCCTAAATTACTATTACTAATGAATTTGAAACTGAGCCCTACTTTTCTGAGAGAGAATTTTGCATAAAGATTCAGCAGAAGCTGACATTCTTATTCAGCAAAATACATGCTTAAATTGAAGAATGTGCTTATATCTGTACAGGTTTCATGGAGACTCAAAGAAATTTCACACTGAAATATATCCACAGACAGTTTTTCTGGAATAAGGATTAAAATAAATCATGCCTTTTTTTATAATGGTGTTCTTCTGGTTTTATTTTTGATCAATTAATGCTCTTTCTTAAATGTCTGAGGTTTACTCCACCCCCTACAAAGAGGCACTTTCCTAACAAGATTGGAGACCATTTAGTTAGGGGTATAGCAATGTACACCAAAAGACCAAATGTACTCCCTGATTCCTGAGTTATGTGTTTTGTAGGCAACTGTCAGCTGCTCTGCCCACAGGGGAATTTCACCCAGCAATTCGAAAATATTAAATGCACCAGACACCCTCCCAGAAAAAATGACTGGAGGAGTCGATCGTCTATTTATAGATAAAAGCTGATAGGACAGCCTAGAGAAATTCTTCCCATCTTTTGAAACGGTGTGTGGCAGTTCCCTGGGGACTGGTGACAAGTGTCAGTCTGGCTAAGTAGCACAGGAAAACTGTCCAGCTTCTGGCTCTGATACAGCAGAGCAGAACATGGCTACTGCACACACGACAGGTTTGTGGTTCAGTTTTTACCCCTGGAAAAGCTAATAAGAATTCAACTGACCTGTTTAAGATCCAGAAACCTTAAAAGGAAACACAACAGCTGCTCTGATAATTCCCTGGATTCTCAAACCCTTCTGAGTCTGACAGTTATTACTGTCCCAAGGCATGAGAGAGAATTTTCTTTTTTGTTTGATTCCTGGAGCTCTGCTCATAGCTGGAACAATCCTCAAAAATTTTAAGAGGCTGGAAAGGATGAGTCCATAAATCTCCTTCACTGTTAGTGAGCTGGGAGTGAGGGTGCCAATTTTAGCATGAGATCCTTGAAGTCCTGGCCCTGTTCTTTCTCAGCAGTAATAAGTATGAAAAGGACTAAGGGACGGAGTAGCAGCCTCGTCGTTCTCAGCAGATGGTTTGAACATAGAGAACAAAGATCACAGGCTAACTGACAAGAGGCTACCTCCAGGCAATTAATCATCCCTTCTGAAGGTCAGTTGGGAAAAAGGTGAGTTTTACAGGGGCCTCCATCACAGGAGGCAGACAATCTGCTATCTCAGCTCTAACACAGACGATTATAGGAGGGGAATGTGCATGTCAGAACCTCCCATTTATCATAATCCCAAGGCCATTTTTCATGTTGAAATGAGCCCTTTCAGAAAATGTCACACACAACGGCTACTTTAATCTCAGCCTCACTGGATCTATCTCTTTAGGCTTTCTGCACCATTGGAAGGGCCCTGGGACAGGATTACAGGCTTCTGCTTTCTTCTTAATCAATTGCTTAGTGGATTTGGAGTACAATGGTATATTTTTAGGGAGTTCTGCTTGACAAATTTAGCTGCTCAGCTCTGAGAGAAGCAGAGATGAGGAGCTGGGCATGAAGGCAGAGCTGACAAGATCTAGTATACCTGGAAAAGAAAAAAGAAATTGTATGTCTGTGTTGTTGGTTGGAAAATGTCCCAGATGGCCAAATTCTTGGTTGGAAAATGCCCTGTTTATAGTTAATCCTTGTGCAGAATCTTTGCCAGGGAGATAAATAATGTAGCAAGCAAGGTCAATGCCTCTTCTACACTTTTCCCCAATATGCTTCATGCTTCATTGGTCACACAAGTTATTAGGCTTATTCGGTACCCAAAGAGTAACTTCTCATATTTCACTTCTTAAATTTTCCCCCCTCCCTGCAATGCCTCGCTGGCTTAGGCCATGCCTTATAAAATATGGGGTCAATAAACTAAGGAAAGAGAAAAGAAAATCTTGCGTAGAGATTGTTGGCTGATGTTTTATAAACATTGCTGAACTTGTATGGGGGAAAAAGAAAAGGCAGAAGAAACCCTGGAATGAAAACCCATTACAAACGTGGACTAAGCAGTGAAGCTACGAGAACTGAGAAATAATAAAAAGTAATCAATATCAGATGGCCCTTCTTAGAAGAGAAATTAAAGAGTAAAAGCAATTTAAAAAATAGTATAAATCAGCTTTTTTACTAAATCTAAATATGTATATATATGTTCTCAAGATTTCCCACATGGCATATTTCTGAGCTACTTCCCCCCCTCACAACATGATACAAATTAAGCCTTGAGTATCAAAAACAAGCATGCTTGGAAAAATACTAAACAGCCCATAAGAAAAAACATGTTCTCTTTGTTCTTCCTCCTTTTTCAAGTTTTGACCTAGTGGGACTGACACTGTCCCCCACTACAGTGATAACACAAAATAACTGAGCAGTGCCTGGCTTTTCTGCTTTAAACATGACCAGGGAAATAAAGGTTCCTGTTAGAAAAAGGTCAAATCTCACTCTGATTTACACACATTAAACACTTCTGGCTGGAGGCACAATCAGGATCTTTTCATTTCTGTTTATCCAGTAAAGATATGATCTAGTAAATAGGAGGTCTACAGAGATGCTTTAAAGATACTTGAGTAGTCAAAATCTTTGGGTTTTGCATGTCCCACAGCTTCACTGAATTGTGCTTTAAGCTAAAATGAGGCTTTCACAAGAGATGGCTTATTGTTACAAGAGCTGATACTGTCTTCATCTCTAACATTTACTGACACTGAAGCCATGCTACATCAGAGATGTCCCACTCCAACACATTTAACACATCAAAAGAATTGCTAGATTAGATGCCATTTGAATGTCTGAATCCAATTCAGCCTGTTTTCATTGCCTGTAAAATAAAGCCATTTCAGATAAAGCTTTATCCTGCATACGTGAAGACAACCATAAATTAATTCAAGTCGTTGTCATTCTTAAATATATCAAATGATGTCTTTAATCTATCAAGCGGTGAAGAGGCCTTATATATGTACTTCTGGAAGTGCAAATTAAGAATAATTATTTACTAGGTCACCAGCATAGAATTCTGAGAACAGTTTTCAGAAGTTTTGAACATTATTCTTTACATAATACACTTTTGGATATATATTTATACTCTCTGAATTATTTATACACTTGCAAAACTGTCCACTTTTTCATTTAGTAGTAAGAAGCAGACACAGACTAAGGAAGATAAAGGTTTATGTTGGCAGGTGAGTTCTTACACAAAAAGATTAAAGATATGTACTAAAAGCAGCCTTACATCTAAATGTAAATGATAAATATTTGGGGGGGCTAACGTGAGAAGAAAGCTATGTAAGAGTCATTAAAATAATATCTGCTTTGAAGCAGAAATTAATTCAAGTCCTGAGCATTTTTAAGCTTTTAAAGCTGACAAGAACCAGGGACTTTCTCTCACACGCCACCATTTTGTGTATGTAAGGAACTGAAATTGCTTGGCATAGCGCAGCACAGAAGAAAGCACTGTAAAAGTAATTATACGTTTAGATGTGTAAATGGAAACGATGCTTTTATAAGAACATTTGAACATATGATTAGATGTTCTGGTCTTTCAACTACATTCTTCTATCTGAAGCATTTGATGGCTTTTCATCCAATTATTGAACAAGTATGATAGTTAATGAGGAGTTATGACAACATATCATTTTTATGTTGTATCCATCTATTGTAGCTCTAAGGTGCCTATTATTGTTCTGTTTAAGTGCCAGTCCGATTCTGAATTGCCTCCATCCATATAATTACAGAACAATCAAAGCAAAAGGCTAATTGAATGCATCTTGCAAATACCTTCTTCACAGCTCTCGCCTTTGTATCCCGGGTTGCAGATACAGGTGCCCATGATGCATGTGCCATGGTTATTGCAGGAGACATCAATGCACTGGTTGGTTGGGACATCACACTCTGCTCCCTTCCAGCCACTGTGGCACAAGCACCTTCCTTTCATGTACTGCCCATTTCCACTGCATAACACTGGGCAGGACGCTATGGACAGACAACAAAAATCACATTGCAACAAACGAAAAATCATTTCAAAAAGAAGCACAAGAGCCCAGCATGTAATTTACATTCTTCATACACAGTCTTCACTGGGGTATGTTGTTGTTTGTTTTGCCAAAACCAAACCTTTTATATGGATGATACCCAGCTGTTAACTGTATTCTCCTATGAGTGTTTAAAACAAACAAACAATGCCCTTAAGTTAGACTATCTCCTTGCTCTGTGTCTCTGATATCTTTTTTCACTAACTAAACTCATAGTTTTCTTGTATTCTGATTTCACAATGTACTGATGTCTTCTTTCCAGAGTATCACAGACCTTAGATTGCTTATCATTATCCCTGACCTGCTGCCAGACTTTCCTTGACACTGTCTCTGCTGTGGATTTCAGTGGCACACAAATCACTCCCCTGTTTTTTCCTGAGTTAACTCTCAGCTTTATGGGTTTCAGTTACTTTGCTCAGAGCCCAGAATGCCACATTGAGACTGTTTCCCTGATTTAGCTCATGTCATACCATCAGCTATCAACTTCCTTCCCTGAAAGGGTTGTCAAGCACTGGAGCAGGCTGCAAAGGGAAGTGACTCAGTCACCATCCCTGATGGAATTTAAAAGATGTGTGGATGTGGCATATGGGGATTTGGCTTAGTGGTGGACTTGGCAGTGCTGGGTTAATAGCTGAACTTGATGAAAAGAGTTTTAGAGGTCTTTTCCAACCTTAACAATTCTATGGTTCTAGTGGAATGTCCAGCCCCCATTTTTAGTTATCACCTCTGCTGGACTCGATTTATCTACCAGCCACAAGGCAAAATTGGCCTCTACTGTTTCCAAACTCACTGTAATAAAAGCTGTATAAATCTATCCTCTGAAATTCATGTAATTTATAAAGGATTTTTAATTGTCCTTGTTTCCAGCAAAGTCAGCTGACTCTCAAGGCCACCCAGATACAGGATTTCTTCCCTGTGATAAAGGGAAGAAGAGGAAGATGACAAGCTCAAGCTGTGGCATGATGGATCCCAGGATTAAGCATTTTCAGAGCCAAATTTGGAAACTGCCAGGCAGAGTTGGATGGGCTGAACTGAAGGATACAGAACAGGTTCCCCAATGAAGCAGAGGGCATCAAGGACCAGTCCTCAGCCTCCACAACCAGAGCTTTTTTGTAATCACTGCTCTCCAAGCTTTCTCCAGCTCCTTTCAGATGATGCCTTCTCTTTATTCCATTCTCCACACCAGCCATATTATGTTTCTTTTGTCCTCTGTTCTGATTTTGCCAAGATGCTGATTTCAGTCCATCAGAAACAACAACCTTTTCCTGTACACTCTGCTTTGAAACTTGCTTAAATCCTGCTCTCTTTCATTTTATTTTGCTGAAACTCCACTGCAAGGATATATATGCAACACAGACTGCTCTTGTTCACTGTTGCACATCAGCCTTAGGTAAGAGCAGCTGGCCTCCTCATCTGCCCCTCAGAAAGGCAATTTATGAACAACTTTATGCAGGACAAATGTGAAATGAATATTCTATTCTGCTGCTTAATCCAACTGGATTAGGCATGTGATGAATCCTTTTTTGCTTTGTTCCTGACTTTGATTATGTGTGGGAAGGGGGTATTACATGATTAAGGAAAGCTTTCCTCTACCTTCTCTTCCATCTTTTCAGACAGAAATCTCACAAAGTGCATCATGAGCTGTTTCCACACATCCTTATAGTCAAGTTTGAGTCTTCCAGAACTACAGCAGCCTCAATAAAATACAAAGCATTGCCAACTCTGACTGTTAAACCAGTTTGATATGCAGTGAACTGTATTTGCCTGACCAAGATAAAAGAGGTTTAGGAAAGAAAGGAATTTGGCAACTGTTATTACTGAAGACCACTCTGTTCACTTTAAAGGAAACATGCTGCCGTGGTGCATTGCAAGTGCATAATTTGCAAAATGGTATCTACTTATATAATATGAGACTTAAATTGTTTAAGATACATTGTGTTGTGTGCATAGTTCACAGCACACTCTGTAATTTCACTTTTCAGCTAAGTGATGGCATTTTCTGCCCCTCCCATCTCAAATTTCAATGCTCAGTAATGGACATTGTTCTTTCAAGGCACTAGCAAGGGGTAGTCTGCAGTTCTTTTCAATAAGAAGATAGAATAACTGCCTCAGAGGTTGCTGAGAAAGACTTATGTGTTTCCTGACAAGACAGCTGATCACTCAGTAAAAGATCAGATAAATTAGTCTGCAGTGAGACTGACACTCCACAGAGCCTTCTGTGGAGAACACCTTCAGCATCACCTGGAAAGCACTGCTACAAATGTCAAGGCAATGGTGAGAACAAGACTACCCCTGTAGCATGCAATAATGAATAAAGACAAAAGAGGTTTCTGAATTTTTTCTCCTGTTACTTGTGCAACTCTTTTCCATATATAAAGATATATAGTTATCATTTGATCATTCAGATTCCAACAATGTCAATGATGGCAAAATTATAGTAATTCTCTAGTGTGGTAATGATAGCAGCAACCCAAATGCATACTTTGTTTCTTGAAAAGTTGAGCATCAGTGAGTAAGACAATTTGTTTGTTTGTTTACTTTATACAGAACTTGAGAAGGCCACCTCCCGTGTCCACGAAAACCTTCAAAAAGGCTATGGAATATACCTCTGGTGACTTGCTCTCATTTATTTTTTTAAAAATAATTGGTAAATAATACATTAGTAATTCACCATTACTAAAAAGAAAAAGACTTTCTGCTCCAGACTTTCCCATTCATTTGGAGGGTGAAGTACAAGGTTGAATTGAAATAAAGGAACGCCCAGGAAATCCACAGAATTCTTCAATGTGAGCAGGAACCTGCTTATTTAAGGATTACTGCTCCATATAGGGATTGTGAAGGGCTGCAGATGGATCCCGTAACAGCCTTTTCAGGGATTTGCAGGTCAAAAGATGAGTCTTGGATGCCCCTGAAAATCAACAGGAAGTCCATGCTGGAATCCTTGCAGCTCATGCTCAGGGCAACATGATCTATTTAACATGCCCAGTGAGTGGACATGCATACAGAAATATAAATTTGGCATTCTAGGTATTTTTATGTCTTCCTAAAGGCAGAGTGCAACCTATGATCTGAACCCAGACGATTCTGAATGAAAAGACAGAGTTTAATAAAAGGTGTTCATAGCAGCTAGAGCATGTGCTCTGGTGAAATGGGAAACTCGCATCGCTCCATTGAAAAGCCTGAGAAAGTTCAGGGTAGCCCGGGAGGGGAGGTGAGCTCCTCTGAAAGTGGATTCAGAACAAGAGTTTAAGTACCCTGACTCACAGTGAAGAAAGTTCTTCTTCTCCACAGACTCTACAGCGAGCCTTGGGGGAAACAAGCCCTGAACTTCTGCCCCTACTGAAAGTTAGAAGGTGTGAGCTGGAATATGCTATGGGACATGGAAAAAACTCCTTTTGTCTCCAGCTCTAGGGATTTGAAAAGGAGCTTGGAAATGCAAACCAAGTGTAAGGAAATGCAAACCAAGTGTAACCTGAGTCAGCAAGAAGTTTGACAGAACAGCTCTCAGGGACACAGCTTGCCACATCCATCTTACTGGGCTGTGAACTCTGAAACCCCGCCGGGTTCAGCCCGGCCTCTGCCTTGGCAGGGAGCTCCCGCCTGCCCTGGGGGTGCGCGACTCCTTATCTCTGTCTCCTGCCTGGCTGCTGGGATGTGACCCAGCTCAGCTGGAGGGAGAGAGGGCAGGGGTTGGACAGAGTTTAGCTCTCTCTTGGGAAGGCGCCAGCCTGCTTTCCAAAGCAGCGATGAGCTGGAGTAAAGGCCTGACCTGCAGCTTTACCGCAGCTCCTTGGGTGGGCACTAACGTTTTATGCTACCTCCCTCACCAGATTTATAAATCTGTACTTTGTTGGACCGTTTGAGCTAAAAAAAGCCTTGGAAAGGTTGATGCACAGTATCCTGCCATTTCCCACATGCAAGGTTTTCATATCTTGGTTTGAAATGTGTTCTTACTAAAAGTATTTCATTTTTTTTTTAAATGTTTGAATAACCTAAAAAATTCAGGCCAAAGAAAACCCTTCCAAAGTCATTTATTAAAAATACTTATCACTTGAGCAGAAAAATGTATTATACTGTTTACTGGGGTAAATCTCCTTCTCAGTCCTCCCAGTGTTTATACTTTTGGCCAGAGTAACCAGTGTTCCTGCCATCATCCCACTCCTAGCCTTACGCTAATGCTGCCCTATTCCCCACAGCCAGGCTCAGGCAGACTTGCCAGGTACTTTTTGTATAATCAGTATCTTAAAAGAAAGTATCATTATAGTGTCATACCACACCATGATGAAAGCGCTCTGCTAAACAAACCACAATGTCACATTTATAAGTCCTGTTTTCTAAAGCCACTTCCAGAGAGAAAATTTCCAATGTGACATTTTGCCTGTCCACAAGCAGCCCAAAGGGGCTGTGCTGTTGCTAAGGGCACAGCAGTCACAATTAGTAAAGAATCAAAGTGTCATTAAGGTTGGAAATGCCCTCCAAGATCGAGTCAAACTCTCTTAGCCCACTACTGCCAGCCCACCACTAAACCATGTGCCTAAATGCCACACCTACACTCCCAGAGATGCTGATTCCACCACTCCTCCGAGCAGTCTGAATGCTTTGCTGAAGGAATTTTTCACATTGGCCAATCTAAACCTCCCCTGGCACAACTGGAGGATGTTTCCTCTTGCCCTATCGCTTACTTGGGAGAAGAGACCGATCCCCACCTGGCTGCACCCTCCTTTCCGGTAGTTGTAGAGACCAGTAAGATGTCCCCTAATCCTTCTTTTCTCCAGGGTAAACACCCACGGGTCCCTCAGCTGCTGACTGAAATTTTAGCAAATTCGTGGCAAACATAATCCACAGATCAACTTGTTTCCACACTACTGCAGCATCCCCACACTGGGTGAAGAGTACTTTGCAAAAGGCACCATCATGAATATAATTTCCAGAAGAAAAATGTTAACCGAATGGGAGAGGGTAACAGTTAATCAAGCATAAATTCCTACCTCTGCCACAGTCAGGGCCCAGAAAGCCAAGGAAGCAATGGCAAGTCCCAGATACGCAGTCTCCATTCCCATAGCAATTACTGGGACAGTTATCCACTGATTCTGGAAAACAAAAGATAATTCAGACACTTCTTTAGGCAAGAAAACACCTCGGAGTTTAGGAGGGCTCTAGATGGGCAGGACAGTTGAAACTTCAAAGCAATTGCTGCACTCAGGGTGAAAGCATTAGTGTGAGTTGCACCCATTTAAATCAATTAAATACGAGCTGCTCAGCACCCACCAGGTTTGGCATTGTCTCAGTACCTGAAAACTTCCAAATGTCTTTTCTTCCTGTATATTTTTACGACCATTTTTCCTCTTTGAATTTATTGCAGGGATGCAATACACACCATTCTCATGGCAGAACATACAATTTTGGTGCAGTTTTTTTGACTTGATTAAGTAACCTTGAGGCATTTATTTGTGCCAAAAAGAGCTGAGTGATGATAGATATGTTCCCCTATGAACTTACTGAACAAAGACCCTTGGTTTATCCTATCTGCTTGCTCACTAAATACCTCTAACCAAATTTTTTCTTATTTGCTCTGCAATATTATATTGAATATAATACATTATACATTATACAATTTGTATCTTTAACAGCTCAAAGTGCTGGGGCTAACGTTCTATTTGGTGGAACAGGAATGGGTCTATTTCACATTTTCTTCTATTTCTAGTTATCATCTTAAATTCCCTGACTTTGGCAAAATCACCAGCTATTCATTTTTCAGGGGAAGTTAACAGGTAAACAACATGTTATCTAGCACTTCTCTTTCTAATAGAGTTCAGAATATTGGGACTAAAACGTATCTTTCATAAAAGAACACAAGCTAGTAAACTCATCAAAAAGAGAATGAAAATACTCTTATTTTCTTACACTAAACTGAGTGAAGACTGAGTAAATGTGAGGCTTTGAAAGACATTGTAATAAATACCGTGGTTCATTCTACAGTGCTATTTCACATTTTCTCTGAGGGAGATGCCTATCAGATGAAAACTGGATTTGGTAATAGAGATATTACCAAATATCTCTATTTGTAGTATGCATGGAGTGGGGTGAAAATCTCAGCCCTGTGAATAATGATTGCATTTGCACAGATGTACTTCACAAGGCCTTGTAGGAGCAAAGTTATTTGTAAACTCCCAATCAGTGCAAGTGAAGAGAACCAGCAACAGCAAAGATGTACAGATTGGTTTCTAATCACAAATGAAAGGAAGCCAGTTTCTGTATGGGTGTTTGCCAAAGAACAGAGGTTTCTGAAGGACATTTTAAAGGCTGTGGTGTAATTCAATAATTCACAAAGGACAACAGCAAATTTAAATAATAAAACCAGTTTAAAGCATTTATGGTTTAAGTTCTGGCTTCAGATATCTCATAAGCAGACAGCTCCATGCAGCAAGAAAGGTACAAGGAAGTGCTGTCAGTTTTCTAACACTCAGTAGTTAAGCATGTATTCACTTGATGGTGTGTGGAAATACAGTCACAACATGCAGTCAACCCTTTAGGCTTGAGATGCTATCTTTGTTCCAATCAAAGAGCAGCCATGCTTCCTAGAATAAAGAAGTAACGACTAAGGCCTCATGCATTTACAGTGATATTTAGGAATATACTCTCTCATTTCATAGCAGGTATAAACACAAATCTATCCTGTAAATGAAAAGTTAATATTAGCTCATGTGTATACAATCTTCAGAACTTTGACACGGAAAAATGTCACTGCTGAAAACAAAAATTAATTCACTTTATGACTTTTTCTTTCTCTATTTTTTTTTTAATAATACTTATATTTTACTTTTCTTCAAGAAATATACCCAGAGATTCAGGAAAATGAAGTTATTTATGTACATACTTACACACATGAAGAACATACCGAGTGTGAACTCTGTGAAAAAAGATAACAAGATGGGCAAGGCTCCTGTTGCTGAAATGGTCAGTTCTTTTCCTCTAATCTTCTCATCCTAAGAACAACTCTAAGCTCCCTCTTCTTATGCTGGTTCTGGCACTTGTCAGACCCTCCAATGAGGTGGTTAAGCTCAAAAGGTGGCAAAAAAAATGAATGCAGCAGAAAAAATAAAACTAGAGAATTTTTTTCTTCTGCTGCCTGAAAACGAGGAAAAGAAGGGCCATGCTACTCAGCATCAGTGCAGTTGTCTCATGACACCTCACCACCCCATTGCCAACTGGGTCAGGGGCTGCAAAGTGGAGCAACACTGCATAGATGTAACGTGTGAGCTGTGAAGTCAAGGGGAATAGCTCAGGGCTTGATGCAGGACAGACTCCCAGCGTTAACATCTTTAGAATATTAAAAACTATTTTAAAAAGGTTTTTTCCCAAGTTTTTGCTTTAATGGACTAAACTAAGATATTGAAAAGGACTAAATATCCATATAGCGTTCTTGGTATATTTTTGTAATATAATATTTAAGCAAAATATTAAAAAGACCCACAGAAACATCTAGAAAATATCTAAAAAGTAGCATAACATCAAGCATGGCAACTGTTCCAAAGTGTGACAATGCACATCAGCAAAATGGTAATCTTTGTTACTGGAGACAGTATTTTGCAGTTACAGTGGGTTCAGCTGGTGTGCCTGTGATGCCTAGGACAAGACAGGCAAGGTTCTGCACGCCAGTTCGATGTCCCCTGCAGATTAAACTGAATTACTTTGTCCACTACAATGACTACATACAAAGGGATTTAGAAGTTCAGAGTGACCACAGAAATGGAGCAGACCTGTGCTTAGGTAACCAACCTTTCCAGAACCTCTGGGTGAATTCATATAAGAACCTTTATTCTGGTGGTGCATTATTTCCTCCTCTGACTAGTTCAGCAGAGATACCTGTAACTGGTCAGATCCCTGCTGACAGTGACTGACATTAACTCATTTAAAAAAACCATTCAAATCTATTTTCTGGTTCATATGCAGATCTGGCATTTGTCATTGTAAAGCTGCAGTGATATGCACACATATCACTTCATCTATCACTACCTCCTCAATCTTTGGTTTCCCAGACACTTTGCAAGTGTGGTGAAACTGCTTCATGCCATAGTGGCTACCTCAAAAGGAATTAAAAAGTGGATGAAACCCATTTTATCTTCATCACTGAAGCACCTCAGTAGTTTTTACTTGTGGCCTGAATACCCTCTACTATTAATAACAGACTAGGCCCTTAAAAATCCTTTCATCCCATTTCACTGCTTTCTCTGCTGTCCTTTGTTTTTCTAATATAGCCAAAAGTAACACTTTTAATGTATTCTCATTTTACACTACCTCTATTTGCCCTGGAATAGCCTGCCTGATAGAGATGAATTGAAAAGAAACTCTACTCCCCCTGTGACTTGTGCCACTTGCTGTTTTTTTAGCAGTTAAGGATGCAAACTTTTCTGGTGATTCAGGGCAACTAAGGTCTTCACACACTCCCAGAAGTTCTTCACTACTGAGAATCAATTCTGAAAAGCGATGAAGGTTCATGCAGTGCATCTTTGTCTCAAAGCTACTCCCAAACAACTCCAAAGTATTTCCATAAGGGAAGTGTTAAATGAACACACTTTTTTCCCTCAGAAACTCCAGAGCTAATGAGCACAAACAAGGCAGGGACTGAGGCTTGTGAGCAGGAAGTCTGCAAGCTGTGTGTGCAACACTGAACATGCTCCTATTTATATTCTTAGGCAGAATCACAACCTGGAATTTCTTTTTACTTTGAAGATTGCAGGCATCAGCAAGTTATACTCAGTCAAGGCTTCTCATAAAAACCTCTGTTTACATCCTAGGACAATTTTGTTTCAGTGGTTACAGACTGCCAGTTGGGCACCTCAGAAAATTTTCCGGCCCTTCTGGCATGTACAAGCGCACGCACATTCACGCACAGTGCTCTAACACCTACATTTCAAGCTAAACAGGAGGAGGCAGGTGACTTGGCATCAGAAATTAGGGAGTCGTGATGGGAGAACCCTGGAAAGAATAAAGAATCAAGTATACATTTTCAGAAGCTAGGGCTTAGCCAAATTATTATCATATGGGATAGAAGGGACACAACTTTAACATTCAGGGAGTCCCTAAGTCAGTGGCACAAAGCAGCTGTCTTTCTTTTGAGTATGTTCACAGTCAGCATTGCTACAGAGGTGACACACTATCAGTCAATAAGCAAAACCAAGCCACTGCAGTTATGGCTGGCTTCTAGTCTCCATTATACAGCTTATTCTGTAAGTTGTTCACATAATTAGAGGAGTATTTTCCAATATATACAAAATTCCATATGGTGTTTTATGAATAGTACCATGGGAACTCCTTTAAAGAATCATGACAATGTTTTTGTTTTGTTTTATTTAATTGTTAAAGTTCACTATGGGACCATGAACAATTCTATTTTAGAAAGAGATACATATGTTCTCTGTTTCCAGTCTGATTCCCACAGTTTTCTCTCGGCTTCCAAATCCCTGAAGAGATCTGACTGACACCAGCCGGTAAGGGCAGACATTAATAACTGGAGGGCCAGCCAATGGATGATGCATGATGCCTTCATCAGGTTTTGCTATTAAATGAAAAGAGAACACTGAAAACAGTTTCCATGCCACTTCTCAACCAACGATAGCAGGAGTGAAACTTCCGAAAACAAACAACTCACACCAGGGGCACACGGGCAAAACTTGAGGTTGTGGGATTTCTAAGAGGGAATGCAGAAGTTTGCCTATGGAATTAAGTATTCTGCCAGTTTCACAATCTAATTAGCAACTGAAAAGCAAGTCATTTTATGGAATCACAGAATCACTGGATGGTTTTGATTGGAAAGGACCTTAAAGACTATGAAGTTCCAATCCCCCTACCATGAGCAGAGACACCTTCTGCTAGACCAAGCTGCTCCACAGCCTTGAAAACCTCCAGGGATGCATCAGCCATGGTTTCTCTGGGCAGTGTGTGCCAGTGCCTCATCACACAGTGAGGAATTTCTTCTTAATATCTAACATAAACCTGCCTACTTGTCAGTTTAAAGCCATTCCTCCTTGTCCTCTCACTCCATGCCCTTGTGAAAAGTCCCTCTCCAGCTCTTTTGTAGCCCCTTTAG